TGCATAGAAGCAAAGCAAAAATCTACAATTAAGATATTTCAGCTTAAAAAGTAATCTTCTTACAGACTGACAGTTAACCAATTACCTTTAAAAACTATCAATTTAGAGCCCTGCTATATGGTGTAATTGTCTATACATTAATTTATTTATCTTTAAAATATCTAATTTTAATATTTATGATGTATTTACATTTGTTTGTTAATTTTATGTCATCTGTTATAACTTTGACATTTGTCATGACAGTGTGGCACTATGAGGTCAGCAAACTGTGACACCAGGGTTTCTTCCAAGCCAACGTTGTCCTGAGTTGGTATGGTAATGTGGAAGTATTGCTTTGCAGAAGTACAGGCCACGCGAGGAATCTGGGAAATAAATACAAAGTGATCCCAGCTGCCCACATTGCAGCCATGCACGTCCACAGGCATGTGCCATTTAGCAGGTGCCTGTAGTGAAGGGAGGAGAGTGCTGCCTCCCAGTAGGAATCCTACTGCATAGGGGATCTCTATGTAAGGGATTACAATATCAAGTCCCATGTTACTAGCTAGACCTTTAACTTTACTTGCCACTGCAAGGGTAGTACATGACACACTCACCAAGGATGAATTTTTCACTAACCAGGGCTACATTTTCACAGTGTGACAGCTACTCCTTGTGCATTACACAATAGCTGGCCCTGCTGAGACTTTCACAAAGAGTAACCTGAAACTGACAATATAAATCCGGTCTGAGTCTAACAGCAGCTACAATGGTATTTCTACTTCTACACTAACAATATATTTAAATATAATGTGGGTTTTTTTTAGTTTTCAAAGGGTTAATAAAGTGTTTTAAAGTAATGGTTCCTGTCCATGGCCAGCAGATGAGAGTGGGACTGGGATTGGAGTCCTACCATAGGCCTGTAAAGCGATATTTAAAGATATATTTTACTAAAAATAGATCACGGCTGCAGGGGGATATGACTTGGCGCTATAAAGATATTATCTCTGTGAGGAGTTTATAGTTCTCTGTCGCTTTACCATAATTCATTGCTGATTAAACCTCTTTGTATTAATGAAACAGTCCAAGCACCAAACCGCTACAGCGTGTTGATGCACTTCCTTCTGTAAGTAGTCAAATCATTTGCTAATCATTTGTAGGGGAGGTCCTAAACTGGTACCCTGCCTAGGGCCAACTGAACTCTTAATCAGCCTCAGAAAAGAACTACCGTATTTTTCCAGGTGTAAGAACATGTTTTTTTCTACAAATTTTTTGTCTAAAATTGGGGGTTGTCTTATACACGGAATGTCACTGCAGAGGTTAAAAAAAATGCCTGCCACATTTCAGTGTGCCACGGCCCACACACATACCTGGCCTTCTTCCCCCTTGTCGATCCAATTCTGAATGCTGTGGCAGGGAAGAAGAGGTCCCTATATGTGTGGGATCTGCAACAAACATCAGCACTTACCATCAGTGTAGCTCCAGGGACATCCCACACCATAAAAGCAGCTCAGGTAGGTCTTGCTTTCTGATTTATATTTATGGGAAAGGAAATAGG